CCCCAAAACCCCAAAACCCCAAAACCCCAAAACCCCAACTTGACATAAATATATTGAAAATCAACTTAATTCTTCAGTTTTTCTATTTCTTGAATAAGACGATTGTGTTTCTTACGAAGGCTTTCTAACTGCTCTTTCTTTTTATTGAACTTTTCCTTAGCCTCTTCTAACAAGTTTACGCAACCAATATATTTTTCGAAAGTTACAAATAACGGAGGATTCTTCTGGGCTAAATAATGCTTCATTTCATCCACTGTAATACCTGGAGGGAGCCCTTCAATATCAACAGATTCCTCTTCTATTAAGGCTTGGTTTCCTTTTACCATCAAAGAAGATTTTAAAGATGACCCATGGATAGAAGAATTCAACTGAGAAATCTCGCTTTTGAAGTCACTACTTGCTGAATCAGCAACTTTATCAATGTACTTCTTCAAATCTGTCATGCACTTATCTACTCTTTTGAGATTTAGATCTTCGATAGTGAGAGTAGGATCGGCCAATGCAGATCTAATATCTTCATTGTATAGTGACTCAAGCTTTAGGAATGCTTTTTCTAATGAGTCTAGTCTTTTTATAATCTTTCCCTTCATGGTTTCAAGCTTAAGTTTCACTCTGCTAAGTTCCTCTTGATTATTTTTGCTGTTTTCATCAAGATCATTATGAAACATGCTTTCAGAGACCACTGTGTAGTTACAGAAGCTTGATTTTAAGTCACCAAAAATACTAGAATTACCCTGCGAACTCTCTCCATAATCATTCAAAAGATCCTCTCTAAGATTAAAAATCTCAACTTCACGCTTACAAGACTCAGCAAACACCTTCATCCTCTTCTTCAGCTCCAAGTCATCACTCCCTTCACTCTCACACACCTTAACAACCCCAAGATACGCTTCACATGCTTTCTTATAAAACTCAACTGCCTCCTCTACATCGCCCTCTCTCTTCTCACTCTCAGCCACATTATAAATCCTATTAGCCTCATGAATCGCTAAGTTTAGCCTACTTTCAGCCATTCTCCTGCAAAATAATTATTTATATTATATTTTAACTCATTTTGTACCATAAATAGGGGTTTTGGGGTTTTGGGGTTTTGGGGTTTTGGGG